GCATCAAGGTTGGGTTTTGATCTATATAAAAATAGGGTTTAACTTTTCTTATGTTGTAGGATTGTAGGAGAGAAAAAAAGTAGAGAGAAGTTAAATGTGAGTCCCATATTTTATATTAAAAAAGAAAAGAAAAATTATTTGGCACGGAAAACGAATTTGTGTAGGAAAATGAGAGTATCTCATGTGACATGAGAGTATTATTTCCCTAAAATATATTTATAGATGAATATGAATCAAAAACTTGTCAACCTTACACAACCCGCCCCATAAAGATGGGTTAAAATGAGTTGAATTTATATTGAGGTGGGTTGACCTTTCGAGGTACACTATTATTATTATTATTAAGAAAAAGTGTTTGTCATTTTAAATGATATTAGTGAATTACCCGTGCGATGCCCGGGGAAAAAAGAATAAAATTGTTGTCGCCCGTCGTTGGTTAATCATCGCTGTTTGTAAATCAACACCTTCATCTTAGCGTAAAGCTCTGAATTATAATATGCTGGAGATGTATGAAAAAATACACAAAAACTTTGAAAAGAAACAAAAAACACACAAAAAAATACCTGTTACTTGAGACATATCTGAAATAGAAAAAAATTATCGTGGTTGTTTTGTACTTGAAAAAACTACAGCATTCACACAGAACTTTGAAAATAACAACTTGCCATCTTATTGAATGAAGTCAAAAATGCTACAGAATCCAGGACAAGGAATACAGCCAGTGCGACCAATAAATTTTCGCTGTTTTTTTTTCTATCTTGCATTCCTCGGGCAAAAGAACACGTCCAACAACCTACAAAAACCAAAAACAAAACAACCATAAATTATATTGGATGAACACTATTTGAGAAGAGAAATTACAAATTAATATAGCAAGCAAGGAATAAAAAAAATTAGAGATCGCATTACAGATCCCAGATTGGTCATTAAACACATAACACTTATATTTTAAGATGCAAAAGAAATAGAATAAAAGAAATATAATCTTACAGTGGACAAAAAGAACTACACCAATTTCTGAAATACTTCCTTGTAGACAATGTTAAAGGTGTTCTCTGTAACACAACCATTATCATCAAGTATCAATATCTTCAATCCCTGTTTACTCTTTACTCTAGATAGTGCCACATATAATTGTCCATGAGTGAAGACAGGTCTAGGGAGATAAATGCCAACATGAGAAAGAGATTGTCCTTGACTCTTGTTGATAGTCATGGCAAATGAAACAGTCAAAGGGAATTGTCTTCTTTGGAAATATACAGGAAATGTATGATTGGATGGGCTCATCGTCATTCTAGGGATCAAAGCACTCTCACCTATATTGCTTCCTGTAAGAACAGTTGCCTCAACAACATGACTACCCAATCATGAAATGAGCAATCTTGTGCCATTGCACAAACCTCTTGATTGATCAATATTTCTCAACAGCATAACTGGCACATTAACCTTAAGAGTTAATTTATGTTCAGGAAGACCTGAGCATGAGAAGGTATTTAAAATATCAGGTGAGAATTTGTTGTCCTCAAGTTGAGAATTAGCATCCTGCTTCAGCACATTATCCGAACTCAAATATGTTTTTTCCTCTCCCGGAATCAAAGACATGAGGCGCTCGTTTAAGATGGAAACATCTGCCAATCTGGGAGTTAAAATTGCACGTTCTTTAAAGAAAGCAGGATCTAACATATGATCCAAGATATTCGGGTACACAAAATCAACCATATCCGAGAGTGGATCTTCAGATTCCCCAATCAATAATTCAGGTTGAATTGCTATGAGAGATTCTCCATCAACACTATCTCCAATGTCACCATCCCCTACTTTAAGAAGCCAATCAGAGAAATTTTTTATTTCCACTAAATTATGAACGGCACCTCCAGAATTAAGACGCATGTTCTTGGTCAAATTTAGTAAATGACAATGCGTCCAAAGATATGAAGAATTGATGGTTGCATGGACTATGTCCTGTCTGCTGCCATGAGGAATAACTGGCAATATCTGTCGAAAGTCACCTCCCAGAACAACTACCTTTCCATCAAATGGCTTATCAAAACAATCGGTATCAGAAAATCTCAGAATATCCCTTAGTGTTCTGTCCAAAGCCTCAAAGCAAAATCTGTGTACCATTGGGGCTTCGTCCCAAATGATTAATTTTGTTTTTGACAGCAACTCAGAAAGAGTAGAATTTTGCCTGATATTACAGGTTGAATCTTCAGTGATCTGAATTGGAATACGAAATCTAGAATGAGCTGTTCGTCCTCCAGGAAGCAAAAGGGAAGCAATTCCGCTGGAAGCAACATTTAGCACGATTTCCCCTTTTGATCTAACGAAAGCTGAAAGAGTATTCCAGATGAATGTTTTTCCTGTACCACCATATCCATAAAGGAAAAAAATCCCCCTTTACCTGCTAAAACAGCTGAAATGATCTTGTCATAAACAACTCTCTGCTCATCATTAAGAGAACTATTAAGTCTTTTATGCTCTTCCATCAAAGAAGATCTATCATATGATAATTCATCCAGAACCAATCTATTTGGCATATCAAACAAAGATTCACTGATTACGCGGGGCATTGTTGGATAATCAGAGAGACACCTTCCATTGCTTTGCAGTACCTTATCAATTTCAGCAAGTGTTGTATTTTTTATAGACTCTTCATCAAGTACCGCATCTGATAACACACATTACAGAGTTAGAAAGAAAAAATAACAAACAGATAGATAACATGGAAAGACGAAATGATGTTCCAATTCTCTACAAAAAAACCATCCAACTTAAAAATCATTGTTAATATATTTCGGATTTTTGACTGTACGGTCACAATTTACAATTGCGCACTTCTGATTTATTTCATGACAGGCACTGACATTAGAAAATAAAATCATTTACAAAAAAAAAAAACAAATCAACAATGAGAAAGATAACACGAATAGATAAATTAAAATATAATACCAAATAATAATAATAATAAACAACACGTACCTTGACGTCCGATGTTTTTCCTATGCCTATAAAGAACATCGTCGGACAGATAATTCCAACATTTATCCCAAACATTTTCAGGTTTCGTCATTGAGTTACTTAATAACAATAGAGCAAAAAGATTTCGAAGATAATAAGCAGACGCCCAGAAACTTGCCTCCTTAATTGCATCAATGTACTCATTGTCATCATCCAGCAGTCCCAAAGAATAACATGCATCCTTGAATGACGGAAAAAGCACGCCATTGATTGTTCTCAAATCTTCATAACTTGTACAACCCTTTTGATAAGTAAGCAGGATCCGAAGATAGAAATCTTCTCCATTATTTGATGAGAAACGATTAATTTTTCCAATTGAAAATCCTTTTTTTCTCGGACGCCATTCTTGGGCGTCTTCTAAGTAAACAAAATGAGTTGGATACTCTGCATAAGTAAGATCTCTCCCTTCTGGAAATTTTTTATTTGCTTCCATCCAAGATTCGAAAATTGTTCTTCTAGACTCAGCCATTGTCTTTACATCAGAGATTGAAGCACTATCATTGAAAACAATGCTCTTTTGATTGGGCAGGTGGAAAGGCAATCTTTGAACAGGAGGGTATCTGTAATGAATGTCGAATCCAAAAATACGCCATGCCGCTTCACATGCAGAGACATACCTATTGTTTAAAAAGCAATGAACTGAAATAAACAGATAAAATTTTACAAAGTTAGCTCGACAACAAAAGACACTGGACGTGAATAAATGTACTTGCAATCATAAAACATTTTAATTTCATCATTTGTGCGAGTTCCATGATGAGTTGAATTTGAATGATGTATGGCAGCTGTAACTCGATCGTTTCCCTTATGAATATATTTAAAAAGATATTTGATGGCACTACTCTGACAAGTATATTCAACGTTAATATGAGCTTGATACTTTAAAAGAAGCTTTGCATTATAATGATAAGATTATGTCATTTTAAGAGAGATAGATATAAAATAATTTTTTTAAAGAAATTTAAATTATAAAAAACAACTCACTTTCTCTCTCTCGTGATTTTCATTTTTCGTGTCTATCTCTCTCTTCAAATGACATAACTTATGTCATTTAAAATGACAAATATCGAACACTTATTATTATTTAAATATTGGGCTACAACTTGACTCAGGGTTGTTATCCACTTATCCCTTATAACGTTATATGCTCCTATAATTTAAGGCATAAACCATTGTGGCTCAAAGGTATGTAACTGCAAAACATTTAACTCCCGACTACTCTACCCTTATAACGTTCAACACTCTCATCATTCAAGGTATCATTACTTGCATCTCAGAGTTACGCCTCACATCCCATTCTTTCCCAATTCTTTATTTCTTTTTCTTTTCTTTCTCAAGAAATATGGAGGTGCAAATAACTGGTACATGCTCTTCTCTAGATTTAATGCGCTAGTCACTACTTTTTTTTGTGTGTGTGTGTATTGAAGACATATAATAAGGTGGCAAAATAGGTTTGAGAAGTCGAGTTAGTTCGTTTAAGCTGCCAAAAATTTGATGGATTGGATCATTAAATATAATTCACCATTCACCCTTTATTTTAACCTTAATCTTCTTTCCTATTGCCATCCATCCTTCCTTATTAGGACGATATCACCCTTTCTTCTTACTACGACCCAAAAAGAAGGGAACCTTTTCTTCTTATTGGACGCAAAGGGATGTCAAGTGAACGAGCATTGCCAAACACAAACACATCTTCAAAGCCTAATAATCCCATGTAACAAAAATAGGGGGTGGAAAATATGACGATGTTATATTTTCCTATTTTTAATGTCATCTATACATGTGCATAGCACCATATGAAACAATATCACATGATCATGTGTGCAATATAAATCTCAAATTGATATTTTTGTTATAGTTGTTTTTAGAAAGAAAAAAAAAACTAATTAAATATGTGGAGAGAGAGTGAAATCTTATTTTATTTTATTTTTTTTATAAATATTTTGTTTCATTTGAATAATGAGTAATTAGGAAAAAGTTTCTGTTTCGTGAAGTTTTACGCCATTCCTCTTTCTCTCTTCGTACCCACAAAGTTGTCAATCTATATCTCTATTCAATTTTCTCCCTTCCACTTCTAGGGTTTCGCTTTTGCCACGGACATGTCTTCTTCTACTCATCAAAGGTGAAAATTTTCGATATTCTTCGCGCTTTCCGTTGTACACACAACACCGTCTTACTCTCTGTCCTCGATTTTCTTATTTTCTTGAGAAATTTCCCCTCTGAATTCCTTTTCTCTTCTCCCTTCTCTCTCTCTCTCTCTCTCTCTCTCTCTCTCTCTCTCTCTCTCTCTCTCTTTCTTTCTTTTTTCAATTTTTTTCACCCCCAAATGCCTGAATTTCATGACCCATTACTCAATTTCTTTGATTTTAATGTAAATTTTTTTGTATTTGTTTGGTTATTTACAGGGTTGATCATGGTTCCACCCCTTAAAGCAATTGGCTTTAGCACCCTTGCTATCTATTTAATCATTTTTTTTTCTCATGATTTGATTAACCTGAGTGGCGGAAATTTTTTCAATTTCTGTACCCTCGTTACTATGTTATATGTCTCAGGAAATAAGGAGAGTAAAAATATCCCATTTTTTGAGATATGGATTTTTATTTCAATTTTAGTAGCAAGCATTCATTGAGCAGAAACCAATTTGACCCCAAAAGCAGTTTTGCAATAAGACTCTTTTTTTTTTTGTTTCAAATATAAACTTTGAAGTTAATAATGCTAACTGTTGCAAATTTTCTTATGTGCCAATTCAGTTTTTCAGGTTTTAGAAGATAACCTAGTGTTGTTTATTCATCAACTGTCTTGTCCAGGATGGAATCTTGCATGGATTTCCTCAGTCGCCTTGATTACGACACATCTCTCAAGATACTCAAGTGTCTGGATGATCCTGCTGACCTTGTTCGTGTCAGTTGTGTCTCACGATCTTGGAGACACTATGGTGAGTTATATTATATTAGTTCAAAGTGTACATTTTTTATTTTTCTAAACTATTTCCTCAATTTCATTAGAAGTTCCATTTTAGTTTCTTGGTGGGATACATTTTACATTACGTTTCACATATGATCTGTTGGTCCTTTTAGAATTATGTTCTCTGTTCTGTTTTATTTGTTTTGTAAATATCCAGCCACATACTTATCATACCTTTACAATTTTGAGGTTACATTCAGTTAGGATTATGCTTGAAATTTGTTTCTTAACCTTTGCGCACAATTTATTTGCACGTACTTTAAAGATGTAATTTGCAAGTGCTGTGTGGAGCGATGTGTTAGAGATGAGTAGATGCTACTTTCGTGCTGTATCAGCCAACCCAGCCCTTGTATGTGTACAGACTTCCTCTTTATTGTCAAGATTATATTACTATTGCCAAAGTTTTATATTAAACTGCAACTAACTCATTACCCCATTTATAAGTCATTAGTAGAGATTCTTAAAAGAGAAGTCTATCTGTAGTTATACAAACAGTTTTCTGTTTAAATACTCGTCTTTGTTAAAAGTAGTGCTTCATTTGAAAAAACAAGGGAATTTTGTGTTAGCACGAACACAATTGAATTTGAACTGGAAAAAAGACTTACTTCAAGCATTAAACATTCATTATGACAAGAATACATACTTATCGCAGTGAGTCTCAAGTTCTTATCAGAATCTATCTTTGTTTTAACTACTTTATTAAAATGTCAAGTAAAGCACTGTTTTGGTCCCTCAGAGATGCACTCACTTTCATTTTTTTCGCTCAGATGCACTCACTTTTTGTTTTTGTCCCTCACACATGTAATCACTTTCATTTCGGGCAGTTGACGTTATTGACATGTTGATTTCACAAACATAATGACCAAAACGAAATTGAGTACATCTGTGACTGTTAGACTAAAATTTTGGAGGCAGTTTTGGAGACTAACTCAGTCATAAGGCAACTGTTAAGGCAAGAATAAATATAAATCTTGGTTACTGATCAGTTCTTACTGAAATCTACTATATCGGCTAAGTACACCAATATAATCTACTATGTCTAATTCAAAAAAAAAATGTATTAAGTAGGACTTCAAAACATTGTGTTTGCATATCATTTAGTGTATTTGTTTGGAACACAATAATGGGAATTTTTTTGCGGAGAAATGTCTCTTTCCACTTGATATGGGATAGTATTGTTTATGGGCTCCTCTTTGGTGTAGCTTTTGTGGTGATCCTTGTTGTATATGCATTGGGATTGGTAGGTGAATTATATTGATCTTATTTTCTTGTTCTTTCTGCATTTTTTTTGTTTGTTTAGCTTGTCTCCTTTCAAAAAAATTTTCCTGTCTTATGAAAAACTAAAGTTTTTTCTTTGGTTTTCATTACTAGTGGGCAATGCCATTGAAACTGCAGTTCTCATTCTCAATAGAGAAATTTCAATTGAAAAATATATATTTGCAATGATTAACTAGTATTATGATTTGCAGTGATTACAAATGGTCTTTTTAGGCAGCTGTGCTTGAGAATATTTCCTCAATTGTCAAGAGCTGTTTGTGTTGCTGAACTGAATGGACTTGGACAAGAGGAACGTGCAGGGGTTGGAACTAGTTATTCTACAGAATGGATAGCTCGAGAGAGAGAGCATAGAGTCTATTCTTATTTAGCTAGAGCTTTCATGTCAACTGTTTCTATGAATTGCATTGCTAAGACAATTGGTGCGTCTAGCACTGATAATTTTCCTCAGGAGAGCATTGACAATACTTTAGAGCAAGGAGACAACATTGGTGGTAGATTTTCCTACTGGTCCAGTAGTGGGCAAAATAATCCCGATGTGCCTGAGACATTAACTTATGAGTTGATCTCTAAAATTTGTGTTATTACAGACATCAATATCCAGCCTTTCCTAGGTGCCCTTTGAAATTTTCATTAACCATGTGCTTGACCCATTTATTTTATAATTTTATGATTTTTTTACTAACAATGTTATGGTTTAACTTTCCAGCTCACTTTCAGATGGGGTCACCTATATATTCAGCAAGATCTGTTCGGTTTAAAATGGGTCATCCTAAAGCTCCTTTCGATCCTTCAGCTGAAGGAGTGTTTATATGGACCTACACTTCACCAGAATTTCCAATGACTCAGGTATGTAGCTTGACTTCTTATATCTTAGCTAGTTTCTGTACTTGTTTTCCATTAAATAATTTCTGTTTCATTGATTTCCTGATGCTTGGTATGAAAAACTAGAAACGCTTTGCTATTAAAGGGTGCTTCACTCTCCTGTATAACTGCATTGTGAAGGTTGTCCTAAATTGTAATAATTGCTTTCTATAACCAGTGAACTTCTGTAATATATTCACATTAGTCTTCAATCCAATTTAGGCTAATTTTGAGTATCAGAAAGACCTAATTTTTTAAGTAAATAATATCAGGTTTTCACAGTTGTTTAGCGCACCCACAATTATATTGTTAAATCTGGTCAGACATTGTTATCTCATTACCATCATATAAATTATCCCCTCCCCCACCACACGAAATGACATCATAAGAAGCTGCCCCATTAGAAAACAATGTGCTACCTCCTCCCAGTTTTCCCCTGTTAAAAATGATGTGAATCTTCCTAAGTCGAGTATCTACTGTTGATTGACCCCATTTTTTTGCCTGTTGAACCAAACCTTGTCCTTCTGGAAGACCTGCATTTAATTCAAATTGCTTTAAGTCCTGGTTAAGAAAGGGGATCATTCGTGTCATTGAAGAGTTTCAAGTTGTAAAATCATGATAGGCTGCAAAAGTGGGTCAATGACTTGAGGGCTCTAAAGTTCACTTATCTGCAAGTGGCAAAAAATGATTGAAGTGAATAAATCATCAAAAGTTTGACATTCATTTTCAAGCAAAATTTTTTGCTATTAACTGGTTGCAGTGGATTGTAATTTGGACAGTTATTTGGGTCAAACAGGGTACATTTAATTTAGCATATGTGGAGGGAGAATGTGTTAACAAGTGAAACCTCTGATTGGGGCTTTGTCCTAATGGTAACTTAAGTACTCGTGTCATTAGGCTGAGGTTTCAACAGGTAAGGTGTTTGAATTCCAGCAAGACTTGCTATGTGACTCCCCCCTACATCATGAAAAAACCCCTGTTCTTGTATCCCTCCCCCTCCATAGGTTGTAGGATCGCACCTTGGTAATCTTTAAATTTACTTTTTCAATTTTATGTTTTTTTGGGTGTTGGGGGTTGGTTAAAAGAGACAATGTATACTTTTACATGCAATTGGTTTACAAATAGATGGGTATTTTTCTGTAACCTGTCAGATAAAATAATTTCTCAACATATCTTCTAAGTGAATATTATATTACTACTAAAATTAAATCCACTGATTTGTATAGCTTTAAAACCCGGCATATAAACCAATTGGCTCCCTTCATGGGAGAAAAATAAAAAACAGAAAAGGCATACATAAGAAGGAATATTTGACTGACAGAAAACAGGCAGCTATAACTGAAATGCGTTAGTTGGTAAGTGTTGTAAATAGTCCTTGTAATAGTATTTTAGTCGAAGCCGCCCCACATATTTTATTTTAGACAACTTTTTATGTGGTGTAGTCTATATAATTGACCAATGTACATTGGGATTAGTGAATACTAATATTCAATTATTTTCCCGGTATTTCAAGTATAAGTCCCTTTTGTTGGTTCATTCATATGTTTGTAGGTGTTCATACATGTGACAGGGATTGAATGAATTATTTTGAGCTTGATTTATTTGTTGGATCCTTTGGCACTTCTATTAGTTTGATTCTGGGTTTATGTATGATTCAATATAAATATTCTAAGTAAATTGAAAATGACCTAACTGGATTTTGCTGAGAAAATAAAATAAAAGCTGCATGACAGAATAATTAGCTCCAATGTTGTAATAATCTTGTTTGAGTAACTCTGCACATTCTTGTTTTATCACCGCGAGCTGCTTTACATGATAAATTTCTGAGAACAATTCCTCATGAACAGGAAAACCGGCTGCAGAAGTTTAGGCTTCCAGAACCTGTGCTTTGTATTGGTGGTATCTTGCAGATTGAGCTTTTGGGAAGGGTACAGAGACAAGAAATGGATGGCTTATTATACATTTGGTGCGTTCGTTCTCTCCATTTGTTTCGTCATTGGCAAACTGGTGTATTGTTGAGGTTTTCTTAAACTTAGTGGCAGAGTAGCCTTAGTGTCCTAAATTCCTAGTATGCCTTTTGCAATGCTAGGTTTAAATTGCATTTTTTATCTTCTTCATGCATATTAGAGTAGATACATAGGGATATTTTGTAATATCTGATAAGGGTACTTTTGTAATACACCAAGTGTAATTAGTTACACTAACCAATTCTGTTCAACAGAACCAGTGACGTGGCTCTTACCCTTAGCACTATAAGGGGGTCACGTGTGCTGATTTACACATAATGAAAACATGAGATATTTTTCACTTTTGTCTCTTCTCTCTCTCTCTCTCTCTTTCTTCATCTCTCTTCTGGTTTCTCTGATGGTATCAGAGCTTTCTTCGAGGGCCTGATACAAGCTACTCTCTCACCATGTCTTCCGCGTCACCTTCTCAGTCGACGAGTTCGACAGTAAACGCAGCAACGGAGAATCGCTCATCGTCTCCGTCACTGTTCAACCATGCGATCTCTGTTAAGTTGACCGAAAGCAACTTTCTCTTATGGAATCAAGTTGTAGAGCCAGTAATCACCTCACATCAACTCCAACACTTCCTTGTTAACCCTAAAATTCCACTTCAGTACCAGTCAGAGGAAGATCGTGCTACTGGAGTCACAAATCCACTGTACACTGAGTGGCTGCGTCAAGATCAGATGCTTCTTTCGTGGCTTCTGTCGACGATTTCTGAAGATATGCTAAACGAGATCTTAGGAGTGAGTCATGCATATGAAGCATGGGATCAGATCCACAAATTTTTTCAAGGAATGATGAGATCCAAAGCTCATCAACTCAGATCTGAGCTTCGCACTATCAAAAAAGGTGGTAGATCCATTGCAGAATATCTCAGACGCTTCAAGTCGTTGTGTGATGAGTTAAAGGCTATCAAAAGTCCTATTTCTACTGAAGAACAAACGGAAATAATCCTAGCTGGACTTCCTGCAGAGTTCAACGCCTTTGTTACAGCTGTTAGAGCTCGTGAAAATCCCTATTCACTCAATGATCTACGTGTTGAATTAATGTCTCATGAGATGATGCTTGCAAAGCAAAATGAGACACTTCTGGCAGAGTCAATGTCTGTGAATGTTGTACAGGCACAACCTACTGATCAGAAAACTGATTCCACGTCTAGCAGAGCTCCTCTTCGTACTATTCAACAAAGTCATGATCACAGTCTGCCAAACCAGAGGTCTTATGGCACTGGTAGAGGAAGAGGAAGATCTTTCATGCGTTATAACAGAAGTGGCAGAAGCTATGGATGCAACAACCTGCAATGTCAATTGTGCTATAAGTTTGGACACAGTGTCCAGAGCTGTTGGTACCGTTTTGATGAAAATTTTGTACCTGATCACTCTCTATCTACAGCTTCACAACACTTTCCAGCTGCTCAGTCCTACTCTCAAAGTCACACCAGTATATTCGACCTTCCCCACATTCTCCTCAAGTTCTCCTCACTACAAATCAGAACCAACACATGCCTCCACAACAATGCAATACTGCTTCACAAGGGCAAGGTTTATTGCCAACTCCTCCAAGTGTTCAAGCCATTGAGTGGTTTCCAGACTCAGGGGCTTCTCATCATGTCACGTCTCATCCTCAAAACCTCCTGCAAAGTACTCAGCTGACAGGTGCAGATCAGGTTTACATAGGAAATGGACAAGGTCTGAAAGTTCATGCAACTAGTTTATCCTCTTTTCCCTCTCCTATTAACCCACACACTCACTTGCACCTTCACAACTTATTGCTTGTACCTTCCATCACTAAAAACCTTATCAGTGTGAGTAAATTTGCCAGGGACAATAGAGTTTATTTTGAATTTCACCCCTTTACTTGCTGTGTCAAATCACAGGAATCTCATGAAGTGCTGCTGGAGGGTGACTTGGGATCAGATGGTCTATATCGTTTCAATGGAGTACATCTTGCTCCAGACTCAAGTCAGACTTGTGTCTCCAATTCAGTGTCTCTTTGTAATAAGTCTTTAGGTTCTAGTCCTTCTTTTTCAAGTGTCAATTCCCCATGTACAATAAATGTTGCTTCTGGTCATCAGAAAGTTGTAGGCTCATCATACATGTACAGGTGGTGTACTCTTTATGGCATATTTGTCAACGTTTTTCACCAAAAACCCATCTATTGGGTTTATGAGAAACATAGATATCCGCACTGTTTAGAAACCCAATTTGAAGGTGGGATTTTTCGAAAAACCGGTTATCTGGCTTTTATTGCACTGTTGATTTCATAAAGAGTAAAGTTTTCCCCCACCAAACAACTTTTTTTTACATTTTTCTACCTATCTCACTTTATCTATCTTTCCAATCATTTCTCTATCTATCTCATTTCTCTACTATTCCAAAAAATTTTACTCAACCAAACGCCCCCTTATGGCATTGTCGTTTGGGTCATCCTCACACCGAGGCTCTCAATTCTGTTTTGAAGTCTTGTAATGTCCCTATTCCAAATAAAAGTGACATTGATTTTTGTTCAGCTCGTTGTATGGGTAAAATTCACCGATTGCATTCACCTCCTTCAACCTCAGTCTATGAAAAACCTTTTGATTTGGTCTTCAGTGACTTATGGGGTCCTGCCTCAGTAAAATCAACCTTGGGATTTGCATACTATATCTCCTTTGTAGATGCTCACTCTAGGTATACTTGGATTTATCCTCTCAAACAAAAATCTGAAGCTATAATTATTTTTTCTCAGTTTCAAACTCTTGTTTCAAATCATTTTCAATTCTCTATAAAAGCTCTTCAAACTGACTGGGGAGGAGAATTTCGTTCTTTTCATCAACTTTTGAAACATGGTATCATTCACAGAATTACATGTCCTCACACTCACCATCAAAATGGAGTGGTTGAGAGGAAACATCGTCACATAGTAGAAACTGGTCTTACCTTACTTGCACATGCATCTCTGCCCATCAAATTTTGGGATCATGCATTTATCTCAGCTGTCCACATTATCAACTGCCTTCCTACAGCATCATTGAACTTTGAGGTCCCTTTCACTAAACTTTTTAAATCTGTCCGTGACTATAAGAGTCTTAAAGTCTTTGGCTGTGCATGTTTTCCCTTCTTAAGACCATATAATAATCATAAGTTGGACTTTAGAAGCAGTGAGTGCTTATTTCTTGGCTACTCTCCCAATCACAAAGGCTACAAATGTCTCAACTCCTCTGGTCGTCTGTTCATTTCCAAGGATGTCCTTTTTAATGAAACAAAATTTCCATATACCTCTTGGACACATGTGACATCCTCTCTTCCTGCCAGTACTACCTCACAACCCATTTCCAACTTAATTCCATTGGTACCTTCTTCTGTACCCTGTTCCCAAACACCAATCTCTAGTCAACAAAGTGACTCTCCTCTACAGCAGTATACCTCTCCTCTCCCAGCATCCAGGACAGTATCCTCTTCTGGTTCAACCTCAGTCAGTCTAGCTGATCCCTCATCCTCATCCTCCCAAGCAGCAAGCACTTCACATTCCAACAGTGATGTATCACCTTCTGGTTCAGGTATCAGTTTATCCTCTCCAATTTCAGCTAACTCTAGCCCTTTCTCTTCTTCTAGCACCAGTTCTGGTTCGGAGTATGTACCCTCTGGTTCCCTTCGTTCTTCTTCTCATACTATCCTCACTCGATCTAAGTCTGCCCAACTACCTCAAATACTACTAACTTCCCTTGAACCTACCTCACTCAAACAGGCTCTTGTCAATCCCAATTGACTTACTGCTATGCAATCGGAAATCAATGCTCTTCAAGCTAATTCTACCTAGACCTTAGTTCCCCTTCCCGAAAACAGAAAGGCCATTGGCTGCAAATGGGTCTTTCGGATTAAGGAGAACCCAGATGGCTCTATCAGCAGGTACAAAGCCAGATTAGTGGCTAAAGGCTTCCACCAGCAAGCTGGTTTTGACTTCACTGAGATATTCTCCCCAGTTGTGAAGCCCATTACCATTCGGGTCATTCTTACTATTGCCATTTCTTTTGGTTGGCAGCTAAGACAATTGGATGTCAATAATGCCTTTCTCAATGGCATTTTAGAGGAAGAAGTCTACATGACACAACCCCCTGGTTTTGAATTTTCTGATAAGTCTCTTGTTTGCAGGTTACATAAAGCTTTATATGGTTTAAAGCAGGCACCAAGGGCCTAGTTTGACAAACTCAAGGCATCTCTGTTTCAGCTTGGATTTTTGGCAAGCAAATGTGATCCTTCCCTTTTTATCTATAGGAAGTCCAATCACTGTGTGTTCCTTCTAGTTTATGTAGATGATATAATCATCACTGGAAGTGATGCTAGCTTGCTTCACTCTTTAGTTCAGAATCTGAATGCTGCTTTTGCTCTAAAAGATCTTGGAGATCTTGATTTTTTCCTTGGTATTGAAGTCAAGAAGTCAGCTTCTGGTGGCCTCTTTCTATCACAGTCCAAATACATCAGAGACCTGCTTACCAAAGCCAATATGGCCGAAGCAAAAGGAATTTCTACTCCCCTCCCTTCTGGCTGCAAGTTGTCCAAATATGGTTCCAATTATTACTCAGACCCCTCATTTTATCGCTCCATTGTTGGAGCTTTGCAGTATGCAACTCTCACACGGCCAGAAATTAGCTATGCAGTGAACAAAGCTTGTCAGTTTATGTCTCAGCCTCTTGAAGAACACTGGTCAGCTGTCAAACGCATTTTAAGGTACCTTCGGGGTACACTCAAGCATGGGATGTTGCTGCAACCTTGTCATCCCAGCCATCTCTTTTCTATCACTGCCTTCTGTGATGCTGATTGGGCAGGGGATCCAGATGATCGATGTTCAACATCAGGTGCCTGTGTGTTTTTTGGATCTAACTTGGTCTCTTGGTGGTCCAAGAAACAACCATTGATTGCACGGTCCAGCACTGAGGCTGAATACCGTAGCCTTGCACTTGCCACTTCTGAGGTTCTTTGGCTCAAGTCTCTATTACATGAACTTCATATTCAGTTCTCCACTGCCCTGATTTTCTGTGATAATCTAAGCACAGTTTCACTGTCCCACAATCCTGTTCTTCATGCTCGTACCAAGCACATGGAACTTGACTTATTTTTTGTTCGTGAGAGGGTTCTAGCTAAAGACATTCGTGTCTGTCACGTTCCTGCTATAGATCAGATTGCTGACACTCTCACCAAAAGCCTCTCTGCCTCTCGTTTTGCTGTTCTGCGTGACAAGCTCAGTGTGGTTGACTATCACTCTTTGTTTCATCCACCCTGAGTTTGAGGGGGGCTATTAGAGTAGATACATAGGGATATATTTGTAATATCTGATAAGGGTACTTTTGTAATACACCAAGTGTAATTAGTTACACTAACCAATTCTGTTCAACAGAACCAGTGACGTGGCTCTTACCCTTAGCACTATAAGGGGGTCACGTGTGCTGATTTACACATAATGAAAACATGAGATATTTTTCACTTTTCTCTCTTCTCTCTCTCTCTCTTTCTTCTTCATCTCTCTTCTGGTTTCTCTGAATGCACAAATAATGTGGCACATCATGAAGTCTTAAGTATTGGCCAAAAGTGTTTGCAATTATGTGGTTTGAATGAATTCATAGCTATTGCCTCTTTGTTTTTAAGGCTAGTCCTTTTGTCAAGTTTGGAAATGATGATAAACTTCTAGATCCTTGGATTTTTATGCCCTATCTTTGGAGATGTAATCAAGTTGAGTAGGATTACCTCACTCGGACCTGAACTTGCTTAGGGTAGTTTTCTATTCTTCCTCACTCAGACTTGGACTTAGCTATCTTCAAGTATCCACATCAGATATGAATTTTAAATAGCCGGAAATTTTTACATAATGGAAGAAGTAAAATATACATTTTTCTCATTTAACACTATAGAGACTCATTAGTAGATCTGTGAACCTACCAGATCTGACCCGAAGGTAAAAAAACCTGGTTAGGTTAGGGTACCGGGTTAAATCAAGTAGAATTTAATAGAGCCCCATAGGTTTGGGTCAGGTCTCTCTGGTCAACAAACTTTAAACCCAGCCAATCTGACCCAAACATTCCCCCCCTTTTTTAAAATTTTTTCCCTATTTTTTGATTGTTTTAATGAAAGATCTGAAAACTAAATATATATACAACCTGTTGACCAACCCGAACCAACCCAGATTTGATAAGGATAGTTTGGCTTGGTTGTGTAAATTTTTTCCCAAAAAGCCGACCCTCATTTAATCGGTTTGGACTATAGTTTTCCATTAACCCAACCTGTCTAGTGACCACTCCTAGGCCCCATTCATGTAAATGCGTAAAATACTGCAAACCTGGACATGCTAAAACAAAAAGCCGAAACCAACCTGTTGCCTGGATAAGTCAACCTGAATGAGGTAAACAGAACAGGCATCCATCAAACTGGCCCTGGGATCCATTTTCACCCGTCATGAGAGAGTTACAATGTACTATCCACTATGAATTCAAGTTATTTGTTGCCCCTCTTCTTGCGCTAATATGTTTGGTATAATTTGTCTAGCTGGAGTCTAGATGTTTTTTAGTTATTGCTAACAAAATTAAGTTTTTCCTATCTTAAAAGAAGTTCGACCTTTGTAGCTTGCCTTTTCAATTAATTGTATGTTGACTGAATAATGCTTGTTGTAGTTTTCCAACATTCTTCATGTGTCCTTTGTTGTGTTGATCTGGTCACCTAGAGTTCAACAACAGATTCTAGACTCGAGTGGATGGTACAATAGGATTTTATTTATTTATTTTGGTGAAAATGCTGCTTCAAGCAACCATACAAGGCATGCTTATCCTCTCACCAGAAGATATTTATTTGTATACCAAGATTTTATTCTCCAACCCTTTCTTGCGTCTTCTTTATTCTGTTTTATCTTGTTGATTGTTTGATGCATTCATGGAATATAAAAGTTCATTGTGGAGCGTTTTCTCCTCCAAATTTTATAAGAATAATAACATGAATTTTATCCAAAATCTTATAAAACTTCAAAAGCACAAACCGGGAAAATTACAGGCATTATTATCAATTTTACCCTGCCTTTGTTTCATTTGGTATGAGTTTAAACATATTTGAAGATATGGTTGTTACAATTTCACTTTCTTTTGATGAAGTATACCTACCTATTGCATGAAGATCATACTGCAGATGGCTGTGTTAAGTTCCTAACTTGAAGAAAAAACTGTGATTGCAGTGTTTCTTATGTTGAAGTTCTGGGGCGCTCATTGTCACCTAAATTTCGTGCTGAAGTTCTGGATCCCTCTGGATTGTTTGTGTTGAAGAGTCAACCCCTAGGGACATCTGAAAATGAGTATCCAGAAATTCCCACTGATAATGATGATGATGATGATGATGATGAAATGCAGACGGGAGAGATAGAATTCCGGCGGATTTCGAATGAATTGCGTGCACAAGCATTAGGAGAAGCTGTGGAGGATGATTGGGATGAGGATGAATATGAAGATGAAGATTTTGAAGTAGAATATGCCCTCTGATCTTTTGCTGGCATAAAGTGGAAAAACCGGATTTCCTGTTTTCCCTTTGGATAAAGATTACCCTTGACTAAGTTTAGTCTTTTCTTTGCATTTGCAACTGATTTAAATTTTAAGTATTTGCTTTTTCTGTTGATGGTGTTGGGAGTGGGACAAGTATCTACTTGTTCTGCGTTTTAAAATCTAGTTGTACCAGACGTCTGTTAAACCCTTAAGCATGGAACTTAGTTCTTGAGCTTTCTCGAAACCTTGACATCATTCACTTAACTGTGAATTAAACAGAGTTTGATACACCAAATTCTGTGCTAGTCAATGTTATTTCTGAAACCAATATCTGCAAGTAAATTTGAGAATGTCTATTGTGATTCCTATTTAATTTTTCTCGTAAAATTAAATAATTAATATTTGGAGCTATTTCTACCAAAAATATATATTTGGTGTTATTACACTAATATTCTCTAAAGTTAGTGCTTATTACACTAATATTCTCTAAAGTTAGTGCTTATTGCCGGGAAAAGAAAAATTGGGCAGATGAAAATAACCCTGTGTAGAGTCTCTTTCCTCACTTGTTGAAATTAGACTATCCTTCAATTTCTGCAAATGACTTGTTGCTTCAGGGCAAAGCCCTAACTGCATCCAGTTTCAGGATTAGGCATATCAATCTAACAAATGAACGTTGGCAACTCATGAAAGAACAAAATATGTCAGGTCAATACCTTGTAACCATGGATGCAATCTAAGCAGAGCTCTGGTGGCAAAAAATTATCTCCCTGTCTAGCAAAATTATCCAATGTTATTAAAATTGGTCCGGTCATTGACCCGGTTGAGGTACTAAGTCACTAGTTCAACCAGTGGGTCACTGATTCAACCGCATGATCCGGTAATTATATGCAATTTTATAATTTATATTAAAAAATTATAAATATACTCAAATATCTAAAAAAAAATGATAAAAATTTCAAATATTTTAATATAAAAAATAATAAATCACATATCATTATCCAATAAATATCAAATAAAAATATAATGATCGTAATACGAGACTTTAGGTTCAGAAAATGACATCCCTAACTATAAACCAAATCAAAAAATTTTGTATAGTGCATAATTGAAATAATATTAGTGTTGTAGGTACATAACTTATGTAAGTCAATAAGCAAAAAAATATTCAAATATATTCATTATGATTTCTTTTGAAAAAAAAATTTGAATTTTTTTTTTGGGGACCGGGCCGGGTCACCGGTTAACCGATCGGATCACTGGTTTTCATGAAAACCGGCCGGGTCGGAACGGGTCGTACCGATTTTGATGCATGGCAGGTCCGTGCTTCAACCGGACCGGTTATATGACCGGTTTACCAGTTCCTGAGTCGACCCGGCCGGGTCGGTTCGATTTTCATAACACAAAAATTATCTTTATCAGCAGTTGGTGTAATAGGAGGAAGCTTGGACCCGGATGGTTGGGGAGTGCAAGTTCACAATATATTTCTCCACAATTTGGAATAGGATCAACAACAGTCATCTTTCATTAAGTTGTGTAACTTTTTTAATATTCAAAATTAAAAAAAAAGCTCTTTTTCGTAATTTATACTTATTATCCCATTAATATTTTACTTCAACCAAACATAAATTTTGTAAACTTAAATCAATTTTTTCGATAATATTTCGGTCTACCAAACAACTGTTTTTAATCTTTCCCATCAAACTTTTTTCCATATAATATTACCAGTCATTATGCTTACCCGATAAAAAAAATTTATTCCTCTACCAAACGCCTCGAATGATTTATCAATTTATCTCCTCATATATGCAAGAACACTATTCTAAGCATTTTTTTGAATGAGCTTTCAAGGCATAATATTCTACATAGGATTATGGGTAAACGAAATAGAATATGATAGTTCATTAGTTTATTATTATCAAAACAACTTGAGATAAAAACTCATGAAACCTTGGACTAACAAGGCATCGTATATGATAAGAACTAACGAAAAGGTCAATGTAATATTCTTTTATGTTTTTTATAATTTGAGTTTTTGTTTCATTAGTATTAGAAAAAATGTATCTATGTGCACAAAAAGAAAAAAAAATGGAGAAATGTTTAATTCAAAAAGAAAATATAAAATTAAAGGGTATTGGTTCAAGTGGTATATGCTTGATTCTGCTTAAGTAAAGTTAGGGTTCAAGTCCTAGTGAAAAGAGCTAGCCCTCAGTATGATGTAGATATTTTCGCCTCGAACGTGATTATTTTCCTTAGAAGATACTTGTGATTTATCTCAAAAAAAAAAAAAACAATAAAAAAGATAAAGTACTGAAAATGAAATGAATTTTGAACTTAGATAAAAAAAAAAAACACTTGTGTGTTCTCCTTATTATATTCTCGAAAAGGAAAACACATAATCGTGTGTATAAAAGTAAGTATGATGAAGAAAACAGAAAAGTAAATGAGAATTTTTGGTCCCAGAATTTTGGGGGATTTTAAAAGGGCTTGAATTGGCTTGGTCTAGGGGCTGGCCAAGGGTGATTGTACAAGTAAATAAGTAATGCTATTGTGATGCTCATCAAAGATGGTGATACTGCTCGTTAGTCTCATTTGGTGACTCAAATACGAGCATGGTTACATAAAGATTGGATAATTCATCTTAATCATGTCTACAAAGAAGGAAACCAATACGTTGACTGATTGGATAATTTCTCCTTTGATCGCCAGCAGGATGATTCTCTCAGTTTTGTCCATTTACCTCCTCCTTATCTCTACAGATTAGTTTTAGCTAATATGACTTCTTACCAAGTCGTTTTTCTTAATTTGTTTGTTTTCTTTCTTTCTTTTGGTTGGGGTTTTTTCACCCCTTAACCTCACCAGAAAAAAAAAAAAACATAAGTGATAGAAATAAATGATTAAATGGAAAATCAAACAACAGATATCAGCGTTTGTGCTCTTCTTTTCTCCTCTCCTTTCCTTTTCTCACTCCGGTGAAACCTGTGAGCTTCCTCTAAGAGCTACTTCAGTGATAGGTCCTCTCTTGAATTTAAAAAATAAAAGACAGAATAAAAAGTATATATATATATATATATATATATATATATATATATATATATATATTTTTTTTTTAATATCTCTCATGTTATAAAAATGGGGAGAAGATTCTTGCAGAGAGAAGATTAAGTGGGGTCCACATTTAAAAAAAAATCTCAAACACAAAAATTGATGCATCTATGACGAGGGAACAATTTTTTAGGACAATTGTATTTTCCATATATATATAGAATTGATTTTTTCATATTGCATAAAAATTGAATTCTCATGTTGTGACTCAACTAGTGGTGGACTTTACATTTATTAAAAAGAGAAAGGAAAAAAAGTTTTGCACACAAATCGAAAGATCACAACATGATAATTGAATTTTCAAGCAACATGAAAAAATGTTTTATATATACAAACACACAAACACACACACACAGATATATATATATATATATATATATATATATATATATATATATATATATATATATATATATATATATATGAAAACATGTGTATCATTTTAAAGGACACAAAATTATATCATTTTAAATGAGAGAAAGAGATAAATCATGAAAAAGAGAGAGTGGAAGAATTTTTTTTTAAAGATATAGGTCTCACCTCTTTGTGAGAGTGAAAAGATATAAGGTATATCATTTAAAATGACACCTTTTTTCAATATATATATATATATATATATATATATATATATGAGTTTTATAAAAGTTATGTTGTACGAAAAGTAATTGTGTTATGTTATAGAAATTCGTTTTGCGTGTCAAAGTTTTTTTTTTTTTTTTGCTGCGGGCCCCACAAAATGTTGTGTGTGTAGAAAATTTTTTGTGGTCATATTAAATGATAGATGATAAACCCTATATATATATATATATATATATATATATATATAGTAAAAGACTTAGGTTTGGTAGAATTTGAAGGTTTTTTAACTTAAACTCTGGAAAAACTGCAGTAGTTGGAATTTGGAAAAGAACTAAATGAACACATAATCAAAAGGCCCATGTTATGTTTCATGTTAAAGTAATTTGGCTAAAATTAAACAGTTGCAGTTTTTGGAGACAGTTTTCTTTATCAAACATGAGAAACTTAGGTACATAAAACCTGCTAGTAAAGCCTTCATCCTTTGACCAAACAGTTTATAAATCAAAACTTCACTGAAAGACCAATTTTATATGGCATGTATCTTTAGACGACAAATTCATGCATTTATAAATGGAGCAATATAATGTCACATGACTTTGAAGGACCAAACAGACATATACTCGAGAGAATAAAACAGTTATTTAAGACAATTCCAAACAGGCCCTTGTTTGTTACTATGATGAAGGTTGGTCAATGCTCACACCTACCAACATTTCCTGACAAAGTCATATAATTATTTAACAACATTGAAGCATGATGAGAGCCAGTCTGTTTTTCCACATTCACGATGTTTTGGACTTGGCTGGGGCAGGAAGCAACTGCATTACACAAACCACAGATCCTTGTCAGTGAAACTGTTACTCCTAAGCATAATTGCAACACAAGAAAAAGGCCTTATCATCCAATGATCTAGAGGGACACTTTTTGTTTTTTCCTATAGTAAAACTGAATTAATTTTGAACATTTGCTGTTCTTGAGAAAAATTGTCAACAGCAAGTTTTGTCTCTAATTTTGTTTGCCTTGTTCATCAGTTGAGCAAAAAGTATGTGCATGAAGATAGGACATAGATAACAATTTTAAGGGATTTTAGGATAGCAAAAGGAAAATAGAAGCACATAGGAAGCAAAACTAAAATTATAGTAGCAGGCACCTGATAGCAAGATATTAAAGATGAAACAAATCCAAATGCCCCAGTCACTCGGGGAGTGACTTTCTTGGGAGCCAATTGAAGCAGTCCAACTGCAACCACTATATCCATGCCTGCTTTGATGAGTGCAAGAGTCCTCTCATTTGACTTGTTTAGTTTGGCGCGGTATTTCTCATCCTGCATCCATTGGTGATGAGTACACATAATCCCAAAAGTAAGGTAAACCAAAAACAGAAACTTTGAAGAATTCATGCACATGCATGGACAACATACTTCATATTTATTACTGTTCTTGAGTTCTTTCTCTAACTTCTTCATAGATGCAGAGAGTCTTCCAAGCTCCCCAAGCTGATCAAATGAGTAAAACATGTCACACAAAGGTTAAAAGTGAAGAAATAAGAGGACGTTACATGTTAGCATCAATGAAGATGGTAGGAAAGCCACAAACCTCAACCAAGGTTGTACACGCCGAGGAACCCAGCCAACAATAAAGAGATATCCGGCCAATAATTTCTGTACGCTCTTTATTCTGTAGTTAAGACAACAAAATTCTTAAATATTGCTTGATGGCATTCCAATATAATAATATGGAAGCAAACAACAGGATGCTACTGAAAATATGTATTTGCTACCTCATAGATGCCCGTTCTACCAAGCCACACAAATTGATCAAGAAACAAGAAAGTGGATAGCAATGCATTCTTGCACTGAAAAAAAACCATTTAATGTGATATTAGGGAAATAAATTAAAGATGAAAACGGTGGAATATTCATAGAATTCTCATACCTTTCCCAACAGAACTAGGGGGACGGGAGTACCCTGTGGTGTTGGACTTATCAGAGCATGCAGGTCATTGACAAACTGCAATTTAAAGAGTGAAGTATAAGAGTGATGGTTATTACATGAACTAATTAATTTGCAACATCTTTTTCTATGCCGTAATGTCTATTTGAATATTATAAATGACTATTTGAATGTCATAACTGGCTAATTTTAAACTAAAAAAAAAAGTATTTGACTTTCTTCAATCTATTCTTTACATATTATGTCCCTCAAAATTCAAATAAAGAAAATTATGTACACTACAAATCTATTTTCTTCTTTAAACAAATCAATCAATACACAAAAAGGAAATGATAGAAAGAAATTTCATTCTACACAGCGAGCTACCCAAATAGGAAAACAAAAGAATTGAATGGATGAACTAGCATGTTTAAGAAATCAAAATATAAATATAACCTAACCTTGAATAGACGGAAAACTTTCCGTGCCAAGCTGGTTGATTTGTCTACATTCTGGGCAGTACCAGGTTCCCCATTACTCAAAAATTTGGAACCATATTGTATTGCCCTGCATATTTTGTCCCTTGCTTCGGCCTTGTTCAAATATAAAACAAGCAGAGCAAGTTCCGCCCTAGTTGCATCCAACGTACTCATTTTCTATGCTATTCACTGCCATATAACAAGATCACAGCACAGTTCATTTAAACTACATTAGGATAAAGGAGAAGGGAAAGCAAAGAGTGATATTTTCATATTAAATGGGGAGGGAAAAGAGCTTTAGATCTACAAATTATACTTTACATAGCAATTTGTGAAAAGCATTTTTAAAATAGAAGGTGTCATATATGATATATTAAGTTGTTAACCTAATCAACCAGTAAGCACAAAGATATTAGCAATATTTTCAAAAAATGCTGACAATATTTCTAGTAATAACAATTTAGCATTTCCACAAAAACTCAACCAAGATCAAGAAAGCACGATAAGCACAACATTGGCAAGAAAATCTAGTGGACCTTCCACCTATCCAAGAGGCATCAGTCTCATGTTTGAGCGTTTATGATGTGTGAGTGTTTGAAAACTCATCCTTCTCGCAAATGTAAAATCCAATGGTACCACTCCATTTGTATCTAGAAGGAGAAAACACAAAGGGAAACACAATGATGTTTCTTTTCATTTTCTTTTGTTCTCTCAACCGTCATTCAAGGAACTACGCATACTTATTAATCTCAGATAGCGGCTGACCCTCCAAACTGTTATAGTGCTATAGCGGGTAGCGCTACAACGCTACTGTGCAAAGTGTACCTAAGTGATACACTAAATTGTACTCCACAAATATAAAATTTAAAAAATGAAAATGTGACAAAAAACAAATTTGAAGGATCTCAAACTCAAAATAAATAATTTCAAACATTAAAATTCGAATCATAAGAAAATTGAAGGAATTAAAGTTTCAAATAATGTAACACAACAAAATAAAGTGGCAAAATTAGTCAAAATTCTTATTGCCACTTAAGTGACATGTCAAAATCAAAGAACTTAAGGTTTGTCTCGGAAGCTGAAGAAGGTTCTAGAATCGAGGATCGACACCCCTGATCTCTTGTCTTCGCTCAACACGCTCTCTTCCTTCTACGACGAGAACACTTTTGCAGAAACTACTATAGGGGCGCAATAGCGCCGCGATTCAACCGCAATAGGGGACGCTACAACCGCTACACTTCACCCAACTGTCCCGGCGCGGTCTATGGCGGCTGGCCACCGCACCGCAATGCAACTCCGCTATAGCGTGCTAAAGCAGCGCTATTTACAAGTATGACTATAACATCTCATTGCAGTGCCATAAGAATTTCAGGCCAATAATTATTAATCTAGTTAATATTATATTTTCAATCGATGAGGAATTTAATTATAAGCTTATAGTTGGGTATTTTTGTTGAGTCAATTTATGGGTATTAGTTCTATGAGATTTTCTCAAGTTAATTTTGTTATTCAAGATTAAATTGTTGTATCAGAGGTTGGTCATGCAACTTGAACATGAAGTTGTGGAATACTTGATCCCCTAGTTTGACTTGTCCAATGTAAGTGATAACACAAGCCATCAAAGAAAACAGTTAATTAAGAAAATATTTTCTAGGGAAAACTCTTTCTGCCCGGCACTTGGAAGTGTGATGCCAAGGCTATTTTTCTTCTTTCATCTTCTACCCTATTTTTATTAATTTCAACACCAACCCAGTTTTGATTTCCTTGGCAGATAGAATTAAATCTCCATCCCGCTAAATCTCTAATTGTTCCTCCTTGAAATTTCCATCAAACTCCAAATACAATCTCACAAGTACTGTTCAGAAGTCAGAGCACTCAAGCAGCCACTAATTGGCAGTTTAACCCTCATCTGCAACAAAATCCTTTTCCCACTAGGTGCGCTCGGCTACTCGGCTAAAATGGATCAAATGATGCCACTATGTTCTGTAATAAACAAGAAGATATCCCCAAAATCCCAACCCCTGGAGATAAATAAAGAGACAACCAAGAAGATGTCAGGTGAGGTTGGCTTGGTGGTGGAATGGAAGAAAATTCCATATATACTATATTAGCCCTTCCAACTGAGGCTACTTCCGGTCTCAGCTTGCAAGGTCTAAAAGGTATTCTTGAAACTATATATAATACAGAACACTCAATCCAGGTTCTGTTTCCAAATAAAAACTTAGATGAAATTTTAAGGGAGAATGGAAAAAGTTCCATTTTTTATCTATAATAACTAAAGCCATGTGTTCTTCAGTTTGATCATCAAATATGATCATCATCATCAGGTCCAGCTTTACAGACAAGCTTTGAAGGACTGCATGATTTATCTAGTTCTAGCTTTGGCAAGCCTCTGTAGAGTAGATTAATTTGCAAGTTCAAAGGTAAGAGGGGGTTATTTGCAAGAATCAAAAACCAAGATTGATATCTGTATGTCGACCTGGGTTACTTGGTTTCACTAGGCCAAAAAATTGAAACCAATGCGGAATCTACGAGCATCAACAAGCAAGTTTCTCTAATAACAAAAATAGACTAGATATTCAAACAGCTTTCAACAAATCAAACTATTATGTAGTATTTTGAATAAGACAGGCATCAAAAGAACATTTAATCGACTAATCAGGATTAAATTTCATATTGTCAAAACAATAAGGTGGCTTTTTTTTTTTTTCATTTTCAATTGATAATTTTTTTATTATAATTACAGAAATACCACATTGCTCTTTGTTTCCAAGATGTTGTGGAGAAAATAGTGGAAACAGGATTTTATTGTTTTCACCATTTCCTTTGCAAATTCTTGAAATCAGGGACACAGTGAAAAGAACATAACAATTTGTAATTATTAGTGAAAACATATCAACTGAAAATAAAAACATCAAATAAGTAAAACAACACATAAGCTTTACTCAATTATTGCATGCTTGGCACATGGTATAAGATAAAAGAGAGGAAGAGAATCGATCTCTCTAGGCTAACCCCAAGTTCATTTACATCAATCTCCTTACTGTGATACAAAAACTCATCACATGAGTCAACCTCAAAATCTTCCATTTCCCACTTATTTTCTATCATTTTCCCCGGCAACCAAGTGGACTACAAACGCCATACAATCGACACCACAACAACAACAACAACAATAATCTACCCATCAAACCCAATCATAAAATTCCAACGACCCAGTTGCACAAGCTCAATTCAGAATCAAATTAACACCCTGTCAAGCTGACCCAAAATCAAAAATTGCAAACCCCACCTTCAAAGATGGTAACTTTTGTATCTCAATCTCCAAATTCAAAGGATCAAACAACTGGGGCACATGAATTTCCTACTCTAGAAAAAGAAAAAGAAAAGCAAGAGAGAGAGTGCGTGTACCGAAAGAAGTGTCCGAAGAGAAATGTTGTCGATAATTAGAATGAGAGAGTGAGAAGACAGAAGAGGCTTAGCTTTGGTTTGGGCCTGAGATAGATAGAGTTGTGATAAGGGCTTGTTTGGTCCTCTCTTCCCCAAAACAAACAAACAAATTGGATTATTGCACTCTGCTTTCTTCCTTCTTCTGCAAAAATCTTGCACCGTTCGATGATTCTGATGTCAAATCGTCAAACGTTGGAACTTACAACTCAAAATATGTTTGTGTAATAAATTGGAGATAATTAAACCGCGTCGTTTCGTTTTGTTTGCATCACGCAGTCCAAGGTCCATTTTGTGATGATGTAAATCTTATCTTTATATTTTCGAGAGAAATATATTTTTTGAGTCGGGCTCATTTTAATTCTTTAAAGAAAAATAATCAATTTATGATTTTTCTAAAATTTAAAATAGACACAGTTAGTTAAATTTGTGGTCTCTCTAGAATTTAAAAATGAACCACATTAGTCTCTCAAAATGACTAACATGTGTTTATTTTGAATTTTAGAGAAATTACAAGTCGATTTTTTTTCCCCTAAATGATTAAAGTAGATCCCATAAAATTTATTGAGGACCCAAAAATATTTTATCTTATTTTTAATGTGTTCCATAAGTAATTAGATATTGTTACCAAAACTGAAAGAATATATATATATATATATGGATGAGATTGATGTTTATCTTTTTTTTTTTTTTTTTTTGATAACAAAGTTTATCTTTTTAAATGATATAGAATTGTGTCATTTCTTATTAAGAGAAAAAGATACACAATGAAAATAATTGAGGGAGAAAGTGAGAGTTTTTTAATTTAAATTCAAACTAAAATAATCATCCTTTAAAAGGATAAACATTTTTTTCATATATATATATATGTGTGTGTAGGGTTGGCAAAATGGGCCAACCCGGCTCGACCCGGCCCAACCCGCATTCAGCCCGAAAAAATGGGTCGGGTCGGGTTGGCTCGAAAAAAAAACGAGCCAGAAAATCCAACCCGGCTCGACCCGAGCCGGGTTAGGGTTGGTTCGCGGGTTGGCTCGATAATCAGCTCGTGGGTTGGCTCGTAAAAAAGCTCACGGGTTGGCTCAAAAAAAGCTCGCGAGTTAGCTCGAAATGATGCTAGTGGGTTGGCTCGCGGGTTGGTTAGCTCAAAATATTGGCTAGCGGGTTGGCTCAAAAAATTTAATTTTTGTGGTTTGTTTTCCTGTATAAAATTATTGTATTTTGCAGTCCAACTACAAGTAGAGTAGTTTACAAAATCCAAAAACATTAAATGAAACACAAACCACTCCACGAATCACAAGAGTCATTTATCATGATTTTTTGAATTACTCTAACTCACGATAACCATAAAACGTATGTAAAGCCAAAAAATAAAAAATAAAAGAAGTCCATCAGTGGAGAATCCATCAGTAAAGTCCATTGTATTTAAAAAAAAAAAAAAAGAGTAACCCGCGAGCTGGCTCGTTCAACCCGCGAGCTGGCTCGTTTGAGCTCGGGTTGGCTCGGGTCGGGCTAAATCGAGCTGGCAGCTCATTTTTACCAACCCAACCCGGCTCGTTTTGTGCGGGTTACGAGCCAACCCGACGGGTTGGCTCATTTTTGCCATCCCTATGTGTGTGTGTGAGAAAGAGAGAATTATTTTACATTAGTGTAAGTTATAGTCCCAATGTTAGTTATTGATCCTATTTATATTTAATGGTTCTGATTTATTATATATGTGAGTCGCTAGATACAAGAAGATCAATGATCAAGATTTAGTGTAAATTTTTTTATTTTTACAATGGTGTAAAAATTATCTACCCCTTCAAAATGAGAAATCTCTTAACTTTAGTGTAAGATTAAAAAGTCTTATTCCGTATATCTAATGTTTATATTTTATTTGTAATTAGTAATTAATTATAACATGAGTACATTAGTATCGAGAGTGTTTGTTTCTAAGGGGATGTTTGATAGAGGAGAACTTTTTTTTACTACGAAAATACAATTACTGGGAATATGGTGAAATATATGTTCTCTAGGAAAGTTAAAAAAAAAAGTTATTTGGTATGCCGAAATATTACCGAAAAAATTGGTTTAAGGGTAGGCTTCTTTTTGCATTTTACTGGTAATCTAAAAATACTATCTTCTAGGTGGTATTCCTAGATAGTGTTTTTGCTCCAATTTTACACATAAAATTAGATGCCTATGCAAATGAGAATGTTATGCAAATTATTTAGAAACCCCTACCAAACAAGGTCAACTAGGAAATCCATGTGAACTTTCCCATGCACAAATATTAAACTCCTCTACCAAACACCTCCTTAAGAATAATGAAAAGGGGAAATGATTTCTACTAAAATATAGAAATGATTTACGTTTCATAAAAAAATGGAGTGGGGTACATCATATTGGAATATTGACCAATGTGCCACGTTTTTGGCATTAATATATCAAACTTCCACGTGAACAGTAAAATTTAACAGACTGCCACACGTTGAAGTTCGCTACGACTGATAGCGAACTTGGTAGACAATGATTTCTTGACACTGACACACTTTCGCAAAAAAAAAGTTGTCTGCCACATGTCCAAGTTCGCTACAACTGGTAGCGAACTTGGTAGCTAAAGATTTCGTGACACACGACACATTTTCGCAGAAAAAATTGACAAGAGGAAGTTCCCTACCAGGGGTAGCGAACTTGGTGCGCTACGTGGCATTAGTCTCGGTTCCTGATCAGAATTAATGTACCAATCACAATCAAAAAAAGAAAACGAAGAAAACTGACTATTTAATTAATGTACTAATCATAATTAATGTATCAATCACCAATCAGAATTATTGAAGCAATCACCAATCATAATTAATTTTGTTCACAATTAATGCACCAATCACAATTATTTTTGATTTGTAATTAATTGTGATTGGTGATTGATACATTAATTATTTGTGATACCATTGTTTTAAATTCGAACAATGTTTATGAGAGATAAAATATGTCAAATGAGGTGTCATTCAACAGATTTTGAAAAGTTATGTGAAATAAAATAAAAAATATCTGATTTGGATATCCGAATCAAAAGTTATGACCTTCCAAAGTGATTGGTGATTGGTACATTAATTGTGGTTGATGCAATCAAAAGCTAATCCCATTTGTATGCTAATTGTGATTGGTGATTGATACATTAATTAAATAGTCTTTTTCTTTCGTTTTCTGATTTTTTATTGTGATTGGTACATTAATTCTGATCGGGTAACAAGATTGTGCCACATAATATACCAAGTTCACTACCCCTAGTAGCGAATTTTGCCTAGTTAGCTTTTCCTGCTAAAGTATGTCATGTGTCATGGAATTATTAACTATCAAATTTGTTATCAGTTGTAGCGAATTTCAATGCGTGACAATCTGATAAATTTTACTGTTCGTATGATAGTTTGATATATTATTGCCAAAAATACGACAGATTAGTCTGTTTCCATCATATTCATATTTATAGTTTCTCTCTCTGCAGCAGCCCGCATACAAATGGTAATCATTTCCTTATAAGGGAATTAAAAAATAATTAACTTCCACTTCCCTACGTGGTGCAATAATAACAAAATCTCGTACAAGGTGCTTTATTTTTGTCCGAAGGCAACCAGCAGTGATCCCAAACACAAGTTTAGCCCGTCTTTCAATAAAAATAATAATAATAATATATATATATATATATATATATATGAGGTAGGATCCTTTGACACCGGTGTCAAATTTCAGTTTTGACACCTCATCTTAGAGCCGTTAGATAAAAAAGGATCAATGACTCTGATTTGCAAGCATGTGACACCATTGATCTTTTTTGATCTAACGGCTCTGAGAAGAGGTGTCAAAATTGAAATTTGACACCGGTGTCAAAGGATCCTACCTCTCTCTCTCTCTCTATATATATATATATATATATATATATATATATGGATTTTCATTTGTCATTTAACATGACACAAGAAATTTTTCTACACACACAACATTTTGTGGGATCCACACTTTTTGAAGAAAAAAGAAAAAAAAAAGAAATTATGGCACGCAAAACGAATCTCTATAACATTACACAATCACTTTTCCTACAACATAACTCTTATAAAACCCATATATATATATATATATTATTTTTAAGAATTAAATATTATGTTTATGTTTTTTTATACCTATTTTATTTATTATTTTTCAACACTGTTAGATTATAATATTAAAAAGATAAAGAAATAGTCAATGTTAATTGAGATTTTAATATAAAAGTATTGAAAATGAGTAAGTAAAATGGATATTGAAAAAAGGTAGGTACAATATTGTTAGAGACAGAGGAGAACAGGAACGTAGGAGTAGGAGAATAAAAGGGGCTCCTTCGTGGGCCGTGGATCATGTTAGATAGTTGTACAATTAATGGGGCTTGATCCATGATATTAATAGGACAAATAATAGTTAGTTGTTCTGATGTAGTTAGTTGCTTACGTGGCAGCTTATGTTTTGTAATAATAAATAGTAGAACCATCGTGTAATGGAGGATTATTGATAATTGAATAACAAACAGTTTTGCAGTTACTTTCTGTTACAGAGACCCACTTCTGTATCATTGGTGCTTTCATTCCTGTGGAGTCAAGCTTTCAATTCCCATGATAGTCATGAAGCTTCAGGAGCTTGCCGAGGAGTTCTTGCAGTACCGCGAGCAGAACAATCAGAGAATTGAACAATTATTTTCAAAAATGGAGACACGCTTTCAAGAAATGCAAAATACATTTCGTGAATCGCTCCTTTAATCTCCAGGTATGGCTTTAGAGAATCATAGTCACAATGTTGGTTCATCAGCACCACGTGTTGTCAATAATCACACTATTAACAATGATGACCCAAGATCGGTATTGAAATTCATCAAACCGGAAATACCCAAATTTGATGGCAAAGACCCAAACATTTGGATCTTCAAGGCTGAATTGTTCTTTAAAATACAACAAGTTACAGAACAATTCAAGGTAGAATTGGCTGGATTGCGAATGGATGGGGTAGCAGCTGATTGGTTTCAATGGATGTTTAGTAGTGGAACCATCAACTTGTGGGAATAGTTTGTTCGTGCGGTCAGGGAACGATTCGGGCCTTCTAATT